ATAATGATATTATTAGAAATTATCAATTTTATTTAATTAGAAATATTATTAATATATAAATAAAAAACTTGAAAAAAAATTAGTAAATGTTATTTTTATTTGATTATTTTTTTTAAATATTAATAGTAAAATTATGCTTTTAATTTTATTAAAATTCAAATAAAGTTTTTATAAAGGAAAACTTGTTTTTAAATTATATATAAAAAATAAAAACTTAGATATATAATCTGTAATCTAAATCTATAAGAATAATTAAAACTTATCTAGATAATTCTTTATCTTCATTATTAGATGTAATCTCTCAAGTTCTAATTATAGTATAAATTTATTTTAGCATTAAATAAATTAGTTTTTGCAGGTTTCAACATCAATCACCTGCCAGACTTTTTGGATTTTTTTCAAAAATCCATCTCACTTGAAATTTGTTCAGAAAGATTTTTTAGCCAATAGTTGATTTTATTTTACAAGTTTTTGATTAGATTAAAATTAAAGAATTAAGCAGCTAATTAGAGAATTGAGAAGCTAATTAGAGAACTTAATCTTACTCTTTTTAAGCCAATGTTTTATCAAATTTGCTGTATAACAAAATGTTTTATCTTATTGGAAAGTAACTTTTCTAACATCAAATTCTTGTTCTCTGATTATTTATATTAGGTCTTTATAAAGTATTTGACAAATAAGATGTAGTAACTTAGTAAAGTAAATAAGTTGTTAACCTTTTAAGTAGTAGGTAGTGAGTTCAAAACCCACTGATAGCAAAAATTTAGATAATCACTATGTAATATATAAACAGTATTATAGTGACAACATTCTGTTAATCAGTTAGAATAAGATACCTGTATTACAGTTGCATCAGTATAACAGGCAAGTTATAGGGCATCTATGCAATATTAGAGTTATACAAAGAAATGCAAACTAATATCAGGCAATGCAAACTCAAGATAAGTTTTTATAGTTATGTAAATCTGTAAACTGAAAAGCCAGAGCCTATTTGGGAAGACCCAAATAAAAAGGTAGTACAGATCTTTAACAGTACTACTATAAAGGCTAGATTTAGAAAATAGATATCAATATAGAAGAAATTGGATAAGCAAGAACCTTAGATGAGAGATACCACTAACTAGGCTGCCAGAAGTTTTGAACTAAAAGAAAAGAACATTAAGACAAACTTTGAGGTACTAAAGACAGATTATAGTTCTTCTGGGCTATCTGAATTAAAAGTCTGAGGTTGAAAGCAGAAATATACTATAAGTATTAGGAATATACTATAAAGTTAGTACTGGGGTCTAAGTGAACTTTGCAAGGGCAAGCTCTGTTAATAAAAAAATTAAATGTTGGTAATTAATTAGCAGGAGGGCCTCTTGAAGCCTTGCAGTCAGGTAATATACTCTGAAATGTGTAATAGCTTGACAGATATACAGAAAGAGAGGTCAAGGTTAGGTTAGATAGCACTTAGATATACAAGAACTTATGTACTATTTGTTAATATAAATATAAGGATCAGAGTGTTTAAATAAATAATTTTCTAGTAGATTGCAGATATGACAACTAGTATAAAACCTGCTATATAGACAAACTACTTAAAATAGACAACCAAAAGTTATACATATGACTAGTTATATACTTATCTTGTACAAGTTATATAATTATAATTAAAATACAATAAAGACAATAGCTGCTAATAATCATAACCTTAGTAAAAATAAAAAAATATATATTTGACAATATAAGTCATCATTAATCATAGTATCAATCTTGCAATAGCTACTAACATCACAAAAGCTAAAGAATCTCCAAATTATAACAGAACTATCTTCAAATTTTATAATAGACTTTATTTATTTATTTATTTTTTTTATAGTTAAAATCCTTATCTTTAGGATGTAACATTTTTATTCAAGTATATAAAACATAACATGCCACTAGGAGCTACCTTACATTGAAGGTTACAACTAGCCACATATACACTTTTGGTATCTAATTTAAGTAGTTCACTTACATATTGCTATATAAGTTCTATACTAGTTGCCATACTTGCAAGTCAACTAAAAGTCTTGCTTATTTAAACCTTTTGCATATGCAATTCTTTTTGTATCATAAGAACATCTTAAGGCTACAACTATCCAAGTTTCTGATACTGGTTAGTACTCTTAGGACTACTTTATTTTTGACAAGAAACTTATTAGAGGCTTTATGTTCTATATATATAAATCTAGTTTTATGCAATATGCTATAGTTATCTAATATTTGCAGTTATAGGAGTTATCTGTTTAACCACTATGTTATACTATTTTTACTCTTGTAAAGTTTACTAGAATCTCAGTACCTATCTTTCTGGTATCTTCTCTATTATCCACTACTAGCTGCAACTTAGAACTAGCAATCTTTTTCAGATTATCAATTCAGATGACCTGGTATAGTATATTTTTGTATTCTTTTCCTCTAGTAAATTTAATGGCCTAGTTGGTTATGTGCTTCTCTATACATATTTGATGTCTAGTTTAATCTTTAGTTTATATAAAGATGTTTTATAGATTTTAATTAGTCTAATAGTACTATTAAAAGTTCATACTACTTTTTTATTTAGAAATTTTCAAGTAAGTTTCTATCATCTTGGTTCCTTAGTCTTCTATGTCTGATAGTTTTATCATAGATTTGCACTGAAATCTTATGCAATACTAGTTATATATTCCTCTATATACATGTAACATTACACTTCACATAGATGCTCTGAACACCTAATGTCAGTAGAACCTGACTTGGTATAACTGGTTACAGCCACATAAGACCAACTAATTAACAGAAAACAGTTATTGTAACATAGATATAATTTTCAAATTTTATTATTGTAGGATTTGCACCTTAGACTTATCACTTGAAGGATGACAACTCAACTACTACACTAGAATCACCATTCTTATAATAGACTTTATATAAAATTTGTTTAATAATTCTTTATAATACTTTTAATAGTATTGCTTATTATCTAATTCAAAAATCTGAAATCTAGATTCAGCAGACTAGATTACTTTAGACCAATTATTAATAATCCAATTTTCATATTTTTTTTGTAAAAGCAAACTGTGCTTTTTAATGACTATCATTAAGATAAAGTTTTTTTTTTACTTTTAATACTAAACTATAGTTTTGAAATATACAGTATATAGTAGATATTAAAATTTCTATATTTTTGTTTTTTATAAAATGAACCTTTATTATAATAGCAAAAAACACTAATGAAAGGTAATAAGGTTCACTATTTTTTTTTATATTGGTTCATTCAATAAAATTGAATAACCAACTCTTACTAAATCTTTAAGTGAGTAGTTTGTTAACCACCTTTTTTTAATTTATGAAATTATAAAAAGAAATATTATAAATCTGATCTATTGCTTTTATTATGTATTCTTTCTGAAATAAAAGTAATATTTGGACTTATTTAGCAGAAGTTGTTCAGTTCTTTTTTTTTTAATTATTAATAAATCTTAACATTGCACAAAATGCAAAATTAACAATAAGATTTATGTTTTTAAATGTATTTATATTGTAATGATTATGCAATCTAATTTTTGTTAAAAACAAGCAAAAGTAATGTAACATGTATTTAATGATACATGTATGATTATTTTTGCATTTGTATTAATAATAACAAATAAAATCTAAAATTAGAAAATAACATTATTTATAAATAAAAATAAAAAAAACGAACTAATATGCTCAAAATTGCATGATGTAATATGATCTAAGTAAAATTTTTTTTTGTTACACTACTTATGATTGCTAGTATAATGCCTGCACTCTGTCATATTGGTTTCCTTTTGAAAATTCCTTAAATTTAATATATACTTTTATTTAAACTTCTATAAGGCTTTATATCTAATTTTAAACTTCAATTTTTGATTATAGAATATTTATCTTTAGTTAAACTCAACCATTAAACTTGTTTATAAGAAAACAGAAATTTAACAACTGAATTATAAAATTCAAACTTAATATTAAAATATATTGAAATATAGTAAAATAATATATACAAAATTCTTCAAATTCGAACCCAAATTCGAAATATAAGAATAAATAGTAAAATTATTTTCTTTTAAGTAAAGTTTTTAATGATACTGGTCTATACTGATCTTTTTTGAGAAAAATATATTAAGAACTAAAGAATATAAAGTTTTTTTTTTAAATTTTACTATATAAAACCATAAGTTGCCAATTAATGATGTGACTTTTCATAGTAAGGCTTACTTTAAAAATTTTTTTTATGTTGTGTGACACGGGGTTTATGAGCCAATCAAATCGAATGTCCACATGCTCTTCACATCATACAGAGCGATGATTGATTGTTTGATGATTAATAATTATTGCTCAATATTACTTCGTACGCTATGTGCTAGGAAGTGATCGATGAAATGATACATATCCTACCTATCTTTGATAGTTTTCCGTTTTTGCTATCTCTATTATTGAAATTTATTAACATTAACACTAGAGAAACATATTCTATACTTTGTTAAATCCATGAATGTTTAGTAAAAATCGTTCTACCAAAAAATCCCGACAAAAATCTCGAAATCCATAATCCCGACATCACGCCATGCGACAATTAAAATTTAAAGTCTGACAATGATTGTTAATGTAATTACTAATCTTTAAATATTAATTGTTACGCCGCGTGATGTCGGGATTATGGTTTTCGAAATTTTGTAAAAATACTATATAATCAATATAATCAGCTCTAACTTTCTAATTTTATATTTATCATGAAATTCAATTTAGATACTAACTATACTTTATAAACTAAAATTTTTCAATTTTTAATAAGCCCTAATCAATATAGAGTTTGACTACAATTTATTTAGGAACTTGATTATATGTAAAACCAACTCTAAGTTATACTAGTTGGAGAAAGTAAATATTTTTTTATTATATACTATACAATTTTATTTTAAAATATCCTTTATAATAATACTCTATAAAAACTAGTAACATGTTAATATGTATCAATCCAAATTGTTTGGTGTTATATTAGTATTTTTATCGCCGTTTGATAACTTTTCTTTGAGTGGTAAGTTGTTAATTATATTCTCTAAGTCACTAGCAGACCCTTGAAGTCCTTCTAAAGCCGTTAATTTACGTATATAATATTGTATGTCTGTGGTGATCCTAAATTAAAGTACAGAGGGTTTAAAATCATATAACAAATATTATTCATTGCTAAAGCGTAACCTACCGTTCTTTCCCAAGAGGTGTATAAATATTCACTTTAGCAATTTCTTCTGCAATCTTTGTGTTTGACGATTTAAATACATCTGACATTACGTTCTAGAAAGCAAATAAATGTTAATATATGATTGAACGACCCCTATACAATTTCTTTTAAATATAAATCACTCTCGTTATAGTGAAGTGATCGGACTGTAAGATTTTCTTCACTATATCGAGAGTCTATTAGTAAATTCACGATACAAGAGGGTTTTTATATAAACTGCTCTTCACTATAATAAGAAGTTCACTATAATAAGAAGTTCACTATAACGAGAGGGACTTGTATTACATTAACATAGATATCTAGAGTTACCTGCAGAATTTCCTGCGGAAGATATTTGTTTAAAACCTTATGTAGAGTTGTAGTTTCCTTAACTAATGATTCCATATAAGGGTTTGGTCCGTTTTTGGCGTTTGATTCGTCCCAGTTCATTGACTATTATTAATTTATAGATGTTTAATATCTTGTAAACATATATGACAGAATAATTTTCAAAACGGTACCTGGAAAGATTTAAGATGAACCACCAGGCGGTCATTCATAATTGATACCAGTTTAGCGTGTATTTCACTTTGGTGGTTAATATAATCCTAAAAACATAAATATATGACATTATAATATAATATGATTACACTCGTTTTTCTGCAGAAAACATACCCTTTTAATCCGATCGAACTCTATTAACATAACCACTTGTTTGGAATTGAGGCTGTGTCGAATGCATTCGCGAATATACGGAATCAATGCAATAATAGCACCGAGAGATTGAGATGCAAGTGCTATTATGAAATAACTGTTAAATGGAGTAAAGTTTATCTTACAATGAAACGGGAGTTAAAGTATACCTAAATGTTTTGCTGTGATATTTTTTAATCCTGCAGAGTGCATGGCACCTGCTCCCAAAATAACTTGACACGTTTTTGAATTAAATAACTGACAAAATAAAAAAGAATTAATAAATTCCATAATCAAAAAATGAATACAAATAGAGATTCTCGGATGCTAACATTTAAAATTTCTACAATCCTATTCATGGTCTCGGTAGTCAAAACTGGGATATTGACCATACATTTCAGATAATCTCCAATCATTTTTAAGAGTAATAAGCTGCAACCAACTAAAAAAAATTTCCGTTCCTCGATAAATATGTGCCTGTTACTCGATTGTACGGAAGAATTATTCTGAATACGGTCTTTTTCATTCGTGCCATTGACAACCTCACTATTATAACTAAACTGGGCATCTGGAGATGGATATACTGGTGACGCTGGTGGTGACAAATGGTCCAATGAATTATCTTTGAAATTTGATAACCCCTTTGTAGAAGCAGCTATAATTTTATCTACGATTCGCTGAAAATCAATGGGCACACCAGCTTGTATCCATTGTTCATTCTCAACCAATGTTGCCTCTTGTTTTGTCCTTTCCATATGAAAATGAGTCAAAAATGCTTTGGCCTTCCAAAATAATACATAAAATTAATTTTTTAAAAAAGGACAATAATTCAATGAAAGTAATCATAATATTAATTACCTGAGAAATTATTGTTCCTCGCAGACCATAACACATACGCCCACATAAACTTTCACATTCCAAAACAAATGCCCATGTAACATTGAATAAACGATAAAAATCCTTTTGGTTCAGTTGAGCATTCTGATCTGCGCGAACTGCAATCAATTTAGCACATCGTACATGTGCCAAATCTGCTACAGCATATACTATCTGTGAAGAATCGGATACTAACTGTGTGTATTGACTATTAGAATCAAGCTTTATTTCTGCTTTAGGAGTTGATGGTATGGGTTCTAGCTTTTTAGGTTGTGGATCCCGTGAAGATGTCGATGATTTTAATGCTAAAGATTGGGTTCTTTGTATTATCGATTTTATTCCAGTAGTAATTTTCAAAGCAGTACTGATTTTAGAATTTCCGGAAACAGCATTAGACTCAATTTGAGTTTTAATATCCGAAACTTTGGCTTCACTTTCTTTCTGTGATTTATTATCATCGTTTACCTGTAGGTCCTTACTTGATGAACCTTTTTCATTCTCTAACAGGTCAAATTGAGGTCCCCAACTGACTTTTTGAGCATCATCCAGAATAACGGAAAAAAGTTCATTGTAAATTGCAATTCTCTTAAGTCCTTCAAGTAATATTGCATATATAGATAACAACGTGTCTAAAAAAGCATCAAAAGTCATTCCTTTAAATAACTTTGTAGCTTTCGACCTGAATTAAGGAGAGTTAGCATTTATGAAATATAAAATAAAAATATAAAAAATAATCGGATTTTTACCAACGTTCCATTGACGAATAACTTGAATGATCATCTTTAGCTTCAGTGAGAGTCATTGAAGATTTAAAATGCTATTGTATTATGACATTCCGTAAAATGGATAAGTAATTATTTAATAACTAAATATTTTCAAATCTTTTCAGTACGAACCTTTTGAATTTGGACCATTTTTTTGACTTCCTCCAACATCCTTTCGCGATATGCTTGCAAAGCAGACGCGAATCGATTCATTCTATATAAGCCCAAAACTAATGGTGTTATTCTTTTTTTTAACTTTTCTTCCTTATCTATTGCAGTAGGATCGTTCATAACACTGATCGAAGGAGTACTATGTTTTACGGAATAATTAATCTTATTATCATTATAAAGAATATTTATTGCGTTTGTAGTGTTCACATTTTCAACATGTTCTTCAAAATCCATAAACAACATGTTCAACAGATCATTTTCCATCATTACACCGACTGACTTGTACATTTCACCAAGTTGCCCACCAAAATACATTAATACTCTTACACCTCTTAAATCGATGGTACCAGACTTTTTGAACCCATCCGTTACATTGCTTAATTTATTAATAATCATCGTTCTAGGATTATTTGTTGATGAGATTGGAGTTTTTAAGCTTTGCTCGTTAATTAACTCTTCCAATTGAGATCGCTGACTTTCACCACCATTCAAAATAGAATTTGCTTCCTCAATTAAATCCAAAGCAGAAAAATAATCACCTTGCCCCAACAACGCTTGTATTACTGATTGAGTTGAACTAATTTCTGCAACCATCCTTAAACCTTCATAAAGTCTGCCCATATTTGCACGGCGTCGTTTTAGCCTCACAATTTCAAGCCCTTGTTTAGCTTGAGAATCATCTATATAAGTTAATTTTTGACGTAAATTATTTATTTGAGAAACGCATTCTAATGTTTCGGAATGTAAAGCTTGAAGATTTGATAAAGCTTCGAAAAATGATGATGATCGTAGAGAAATTTCTTTAATGAGATGTACTTCAACCGTATCAAGATAATGAGAAAGCTTTTCTTGAAGGATTGCATTTGTTGAAATAGTTGGATTCTTAGGATTACCATCGATAATATCAGTGTTTTCACACACAATATCAAATGTTCTAGGATTTTCTAGATTAAAGTCAGGATCAAAAAATATTGAAGGGACCGTCTCTAGTAATGGAAGATCGATTACAGGTTCTAAGGGCTGGTCATCATCAGGAGAAAAAGGAGGCATACGCACGGAATAGGGATTTCTTGTACTCTCTAGTCGGTGTGCAGGGATTTCAGAATGATTGTTTGGCAAACCCTCGAGATTTGCCAATATTTTTGTTGTGGAAGCAATAGGAGATTCGATGAAGGAAGAAGTTGATTTCCTAATAGATTGCGAACTTTCTACTCCACATTCTTTGTTATAATTGTACTTCTCAAATACCGGAGTAATTTGTTTAAGATAACTACTGAAATCGACAGGTTTTACTTTTTTTATGACAGTGGGAGGTACTGATGGAATGTCGTTCTTTGTAGGTCTGGCAGTAGTTGAGGCTTTCGTATTTGGATCATTTAGTACACCAGAAATCGCTACATAACATTTATCAAAGATCAGATCATGCATTCAAGATCGGAAAATGATATGAATTACTCCGACAGTTTATAGAATACCGTTGAACCCGATGTCCTTTTGACGATGGCAATTAAATTGAATCGGTAAAAAAAAAAAAAAAAAAGACAAAAATTTAATGAATATGATTAAATGAGTCAAAATTTTGATAATCGCTAAAAGGAAAAAAAGTATGCGATTAAATTTACCTAAGAGATTAATGAGCATTATATAAAAGAAAATAAAATATTATGATTACCTTAGTAGTCCATGGCAAAGATGTTTCGGACATTGTACTAAAATTAGATATGGAAGAATTTAATGAAATTCGACGGGTGATGCCTCGATTATGACCTCTGCCGTACAAAGACATTGCTGAAGATACCCGCTGATTTACAGGAGAAGACGAAGCCGAAAAATAATCGGTTGTTTCATAGCTGCGAGTTGAAGAGGAAGAAAAGCGGCGAGGAGATTGTGGCAGATTAGACGGATTTTTAACAGCTTTTGGAGAAATTGTTCCAGACCGATCGACACCAGGGAGATCTACTCCTATAGAGGAAGTTTTAGGAGTCACTTTATTACTTTCTTTTTCACTCATTTTTATTAATGATAGTAAAATTATTTGATTATTAAAAATTTTAAAAATTATCTATATCAATATATTAAATACGTACTTTTATGTATATTTATACGTAGTCTTTATCCAGTTTACTGCCGGTCGCAGGCTTCATAAACTGATAATAAAATCAAACGAACCAAACGTTAACCGAACCACTAGAACCGTTGGAACCATCGGAATGTTCGGAATGTTCGGAATGGTGGCGTCATAGATTTCACAAAGATTTCACAGTAACACAATTTGTGATGTGCGAGATATCTTGATATATTTCTTTATTAATGTGAATTTTCATTTTAGGGCTGCCTCGCGGGCAGAGCCGCGTAGCTGACTGTTTTTTTTTTTGATTATTAGTAAACACATGGCTAGATCTAGGTACGTAGAATACAATTGTTCTTCGTCATATATAGAAGATAATTTAGATCATATGTAAATAAGGAGTACAACATCGATTTGATCTTAAGATGGAGTGAATTGATAATCAAACAGATATTGTACAACGCTATCGTTATTTATCGGTATTACTGTTTTTCATCAATTTGTTAAATTGCGCGCTCTATAAATAGTCTGGTTTTTGTATCAATCAAAATATTTGCAACTGATAACTGTTGTCTTCTTACACCCAATTACATTCTATTTTTTATAATAATTAAAATGTCTCCACCCGGAAAACAGTCAGAATCAGGTTTAGCTCGTTTATTAGGTTCAGGGACTTCAGGGTTACTCGAACTACTTGTATTTCACCCTGTTGATACTGTGGCCAAACGGTTAATGACAAATTCTACAAAAGTATGACGCGGTATTTTTTTTATCAATTGATAATATTCAAACTAATAAATTTCATTTTGGTTTTAACAGATATTTGTTCCTGGTACGCCTTTATCTCAAGGATTTAATAATTTAGACAAAGTTATATTTAAGGTTGTACTTTTTTTCTATATGTGAAATTATATTGACATTTTAACCAATTAGTCAATTTAATCCATTATTTTAGGGTGATCATTCTTCTAGCGCTTTACGAAAATATGCGGCATTATTTCCCGGTTTAGGGTATGCCGGAGGGTATAAGATTCTTCAACGAATTTACAAATATGGTGGACAGCCTTATGTAAAAGATTATCTTAATAAACATCATAAAGATTTTTTTAATCAAACTTTTGGCGAAAAAAGTTCTAAAACAATAATACATGCAACGGCTGGAAGGTAAGAAAATGGTATGATTTCTGAATTTGTGATTATGCGACTGTTAACAAGAACTGACCTGTTTATTCAATTAGTGCAATCGGCGTTGGCGAAGTAGCACTCCTTCCATTAGATGTTTTAAAAATTAAACGTCAAACAAATCCAGAAACTTTAAAGGGACGTAATATTTTTCAAATTTTCTGGGAAGAACGTCATCGCCTTTATAGGTAAGGTTGGTTCATTAAACTTAAAAGGTTTTTATATCTGACATATCAGCTAATATACTTTATATGAATTAGGGGAGGTCTTTGGACAGCAGCTCGTAATGCACCTGGCAGCTTTGCATTGGTAATTAATGATTTGTTTCTCATTTAGTTGAGTTTCTTAATTCTTATAAAAACAATTCTTTATAGTTTGGTGGTTCGGCCTTTGTCAAAGAATACATATTTAATCTTAAGGATTTTTCCAAAGCTACATTTTTTCAAAACTTTTGCGCCTCAATAGGCGGTGCTATGGCTTCTATCAGTATAGCTCAACCGCTTGATGTTGTCAAAACCCGTATTCAAAATAGACCATTTGAATCACCTGAAAGCGGTGTACAAATAGTCCGTAGTATGATTAGACAAGAAGGTATGTTTTGGAATATTATATATTGAATTCAAACATAATGATTGTATTGAAATTAACATTTCTTGTATTATATAGGTTTTCATGCCTTTTTCAAAGGAATTACACCAAAATTAATGGTAGTTGGGCCCAAATTAGTATTTTCATTCACTGTGGCACAGCAATTAATTCCATTATTAGATAATTTCTTGATGGGAAAAGGTATTGGTAATCCTAATACTATCTAGAAAAATATGGTTTAACCTACCTGTTAATACTTGAGACTACTAGTGTGTTGACTCATTTATATGTTTTAGAATCATAAGATAATAAAAAATAATACAAAGAATCATTCTCAGATATGTATCATATATTTTTACGATAAATTATAAGGTTGTGTCTCTTTAAAGACATTATTCAATGTCTATGATCGAATGACGGGAATTACGTGTTATTAATCATAATTTTATCATAAATTTTAGTACTTTGGTTATTCCCCGGGCTTATTAAAGTAATTAATTTTCCCGGGGTTTTATTATTTTCCTGGAAATGGAAATGAATTTAAACGAGGACAAAGAAATATGATCCATAACACGAATCCTCATGTTTATCGTATGAAACGATAAATTATACATTTATTCCACTGCACTGTGTCTGGGAGATAATTGAAGCATTTCCCTGACAACACATGTATGGGCGAAAATGTCTCATACATGTGCTGTTGGGAAGACGCTTCATTATTCAATGCTTTACTATGATCAGCTTATAAAATAAATCAATCATTAAATTATTGTTGGTATTATAACCATAGTAAGGCATTGGGTAACTTTATGTGAAGTTTTTGCCTTGAAAATCAAGTTGTAGGACATATCAATTATTATATCTCAATTTGGTTTTTAAGGTGAAGACCCCATGTTATTTCCGTCGTCTCAGGGAATAATTCATTGTATTTAAAGAATTTATTTATTTTATTCATTTATTTGTTAAAATTTTCGGAGCATATGTACGGATGCTTTTATACCTTATATTTTTAATAAAGTTAATTCCATAAATGGAGATAGTCTAATGCTACGTATAAATTGATTGGTAAATTAAAATAATGTAACACACGTAATTATTAAACTTCTATAAATGGTAAATAATAAAGGACAAGAATTTGTAAATGGCGGCATCATGTGTAGCGTGTCTCGTTGGTGTAGTTGGTTATCACGTCTGTCTAACACACAGACGGTCGGCGGTTCGAATCCGCCACGAGACAGTCTATTTTTTTTCTTTTTTATAGAAAATTTACCTTCACAATTAAAGTTCCGCAAGTGTTTTTTTATAACGAAATATAAGTTATAAATAAATTTCTTGCAGGAAAAAAGATTTGTACTATTACTATTTCTTTATAGGAAGATTTATGTATACAGTTACATAATAGTGAACTTAAAATATATGGACTAACTCATGACACTGATATTTTATGTTAGTATTTGCTCTTGTTCACAAAACCTAAACGACTTCGCAAATTTGTTTGTCACTTTCAAATAACTTATCGTTAAAAAAGCAAAATAATTTTATTTACATATATTTTATATAGAAATACAAAAACAACTAATAGTAAAAAAATTTTAGACCCTGTGATAAGAAAAGTTTTAATAGAACATAAGAGTTTATTATGTTTGATCAAATAATTGTTTTCCTTATAATGTTAGTATTCTTGATAATTTTTCATTATGATTTTCTAATTTTGGTCTTAGCCAAAAAAAAAACTTCGAGATTAAAATATCTTTTTTGCCTTGTATAAGATGGAGTCATTTTTCCAGTTGATGCAGTTGAGAATGATAATTCCATTATATTCTTTTTTGATTTAAAAAATTTTTGCCTGTCGATAAATTATAATCTATAGATGTTATATATTTTTAAATAAGTTACGCGATATATAAATTTTAACATTAAGCCTTAAATTTATTCGAAAGTGACCCAACAAATAAATGAATACGTATAAAATTATGATAATACTTCGTAAAGTTCTATCATAGAAAGTGCTATTCTGGTACTATTGAAGTTTTAAATAATAGACCGCCAATAATATTTGAAAACTACTTTCAGAAATCTTACATTTTTGCGATAGCATTAAAATACCAGATCCAGTGTAAATTATTAATTATATAGGTCACTAATTTAGTTTCTTACTAACGCTATTAACGAGGTATTAACGAGGTTTTTGACGAAATATGAAAAATTAATTAATACCTTGTTAATAGTACTAGTAAGTCTTAGCGACCTATATTATTAATGATTTACACTAGTTATAGAATATTTTAATGCTATCGCAAAAATGTAAGATATGCTAATACGTACACCTGTACTAATTTAAAATTTCAAATTCACAAATAATAAGTTTAATAATTAATCTTGTTTATCATTAGTTGAGAAAAAAACATCGTTAACATTATAATTTAAAATATATGTTGAAACTAGATGTTCGTTTATATTTTAGAAAATCTCCAACTAGGGTTCTGCATGGGCCGGATATTTCGAAGCCCAGAACCAGCTCATATTTAATTGGATAGATCCAAGCCCAGCCCATGACCACATGGATTCAAAGAGCACAAACTGTAAGAGGTTTATTTTTAAATTAAGCTAGGGTTCGTAATTTTGACATCATATGATAAGGAAATGATGATTAATCATGGACTATCCATGGTCAAAATTTTTGGACTAAACCCGGCTCATATTGGACCAATCCATGGATGCCCCATGGATATTCCAGTCCATGCGGAACCCTATCTCCAACCTAATATATTAAACACATATTCCTAACGTAAGTACAAAAGCTTTTATAGTATAAATTATATTTATTCGGCTTAGTGGTTTAGTTCATTTCATTGATGTGAGATCGTATGTACGTTAATTCACGTTTAATTCCATGCACAAGATCTTTTCCAAGACTTCCTTCCTACCCTCCAATAATTTAATTCCAACATCCACAATCTTTTTCACGCAAATTTTCCTTTTTTCGGCACCTTCCTCCTCAACATGTAAACACCCTCCTTCACACGAACATGATTCAATTGAACACCATCTTCCTTTTCCTGCTTCAACCAAAATATCAACACCAATCATGGTCTGCATATCTTCCCAAAATGAATTTGCATTTTTTGGTACAAAATTTTCGGTATATTTTTGTAAAAATCTTTTCATAAAAATGCTTGCATTAGTCATTCCTTCAATAGTACCTTTTTCATTTGGTGGGAAATTTGCAAGCAAATAGAGAAATGTGATAAAATGGCCTACTTCTATAGCAGGATTACCAATGTCACAAAATTCCCAGTCTAGAATTATTAGTTCCTTTCGGCTTCGTGGAATTAGAATTGCTCCAGGCCAAAGATCCCCCATCTTGACCACCTTTGTAGAACTCGTTTGGTCAAGTGTTCCTTGAATCCCGAGAAGCCGTGCTTTCTCAGTTAACTGAGCTATTTGAGAAGCAGAAAGAGTTGTAAGAGAGATGATGGGTGTGACGGCAGAATAAAAAACATCTTGTAGGAGAGTTCGTGCAGCATTGTTTATGAAATATGGAGTCAACATGGTAATATTATCTTTAGTGAAAGTGTGAAAATAGCTCAAATAGCTGCCTAATAGTTCGCCAAGAGCACATGCATCTTGATTAGTTGTCATACGGTCCAGAAGGAACTGTTGGAGGTCAGGATGCGAGCCCATATCTTGCATAATAATAATATTGTTTTGAGGCGAATAATGGTAAAGTGAAGGTGTCATTACGTGCGGATATGGGTTTGGATGGCTTAAAGGCAGAGAAATTCCCGTAGAAGTAGGCGCAAGGAAGGCCATGGCACGTGCTTCAATCATCTAGCTTAAATTCGATTAGTATCAAATATCTTAATATGTGGATTGAAAAAAGGATATACTGCACCTGCCGTTCAAGTCCGAATTTCACCTCAGGGAGAGAGGCTAATGTTCCTGATGATATTTTGATCACTACCGAGCGAGCACCTGCAAACTCCTCAATTGGTTGATCAAAAGATACACGATAAACATAATTTATTTCTCCTCCTGTTAGGCGTACGATTGAGATTGAAGTGGGAAGGATCGAAAAGACAGTACTAAGATATTGTACAATGTCAACTGGTGCATCTGTCATTGTCGTGTGTTCACAAGGTAAACGGAATAAAATTAAAATGTTATTGATGTTGCTGTCAACTTGTTATGCCGCATTTCCTATCTGAATGACACTTTGTGATTTCTCAAACGAATCTCACCTGATTCTGCCATCATGTGTCGTATTTAAATGATTTTTGATGTTATATAAAACATGCAATGGAATGCTGGCTTTCAAAAAATTATTTGATAAAATGTATGTTATTAAAAGAAAGTTACAATCGATTATTCGATCGGATTTTTCGAGTTATACGAGAACCTGCATTTCTTTGCATAAAAAATTCTATATTTAGGTAGGCAGGTTTTTTTTTGGCGATACTTCATGGAATTCTGACTAGAATCAAAAATTCGGCGACGAAACAATTAATGACATGCTTCGCGAGATTTTTTATTACAACAGAAACGACAATTAAATATATAAAACAAATGATATTGTTTTATATTTTGTCCCTTGTTTCTTTTTAAGATCTCTCTTTATCGAGCAACCTACAAACGTTCTATGAGCGTCGCTTCCTCTTTATTTATTTATCTATTTATTTTATTTTATTTTGTTATACTGCCAGTCGCACAATTTTTCCAGTTTTACTTTCACTTGTTAATGCGTACTAGTGATTGCGGCAAATGTTCATAACGAGAAAAATATAAAATATCTACGTGATAAACCGTGAAAACTATCAAATAAAACTTAATATGTATGCGATGAAGCTATAAACTAAGCATTTAACATTCATTTATTGTATAGCTTTTTTAAAAACCAATTATGATTTGAAATTTTCATTATACGATTTCGTGTTATTAAAATTAAAAAAATAAATAAAGATTTGATATACTTTCTATATTAGTTTCGTTTCAGAAGTCATAAATATTTCAGACTTCATCGAAGTAAAAACGGAAATGCAAGTACAGTACTTCGATTTATAAGACTAGTCACCCTCGAATATGTCATTATTATAATTTTTTTTATCAACAATATATATAAGAATCTAATATTTTTTTATTAGACTTTTACCTATGGTGCTTTACATCTATAAATACATTACCTAAGTAAAAATGTTCTATGCCCCAAAACCCTTCCCTAAACGACGATTTCGATTTATTAATTGTAACTTTATTTTTTCAACGTTCATAACGATAATAAATGTTAACAAAATCATTATTTATTTTTTTCACTTAACATCTTTAGATAATTTCGAATTGGCAGATTTTATTAAATTGCATGCATTGTAAATAATTTAAAAAATTAATCTCAACAAAAAAAAGCCTTTCAAATAATCCCAATTTAAATTTATTGACCTTGTAGGAATTCATCGATATTATTTTTATACCGGTATAAAAAAAAAAAAACGAATAAATTGTATCATAATTGAAAAACAAAGCAAGGACGTTCACAATAACTGGCGTCACGAAAAGCTTAATTTTATGTATCTGTTTACTACCTACAACGATTAATACCTTATTTCTGTTTACCCGACCCTCTTATGAAGCAATTACCTTAATTAGTCAGTTCTGCAAGCATAAATCAAAATACCAACCAAAGTAAAACCGTTGGAAGAAGAAATAAACGTTTACAACCAACCGTCTCCCATAAGTCTCAGTGCCTAACTGGTAACTGCAAGTTTTGACCCAATGTGCTTTTATTGCTGTTAACCTTAGGTAAAAAACGCATACAATTAATCAACATTATACTTAGTTACTGTATATGTAATTTTTATTAATAAACTTGCCAGAAAAGCAAGCTTTAAAAGAGCTCTTCCTTCCACTTGTTCCGCAAACGTGTTTGCAATATTTATTAATAAAAACAATCTAGACATCTATTACTATGATACATTATTTTGTATTTATTCGCTTCTATGTCACTTGCAATTTCACCAGGCTTCTCCTCTCAAACGTCTTTCAACGTATTCGTATAATAGTTTTTAGAATAAGATAAAAAGGATATGTTACAATAAAAGGTTCTGTTAAAGGTTAGAGGTAGAAAGCGAAAAAGTGTAAAAGCGTAAAAAAAAATAACGAAAAAAAAAAAATCTTTTTTATGATGCATTGTTTTGATTCTAACATTCGTATGATCTACACCAATCAGATCTCATATTTCATAAAACTAAACTAATGTGAAGATATAAAATAACGTATAATAAAGAAAATAAAAAATATACTGTATATAAATATTAAACCTTGATATACAATACAAATATAGACAAAATATAAACTATTCTAATAACGATAACGATAAGTTTAGAAATAAGTACTATAAATCTAAATAGTTGGCTAATTAAGTGATTTAAAAATGGATGGTATGAAATTGTATACTGTATCGATATATATACGTATAACTAGGGAAATGGCACGGCAAAAAAAATTTAGCTTGCCAAATGGCATGCCATTGCTAAAATTCGTGCCAAGATGCCATCCTAGCATGCCATTATGTCACATAATAGGTATACTCGATTTAGATTGGTCAATTATCCCGTACTATATAAATTTCATTCGGAATACCTTTGAATGGGACCATAGTAAAAAATTTTAAAAATATGCACTTAAAAAAAGGGTTTGCATTCGTAGAAAGAGTGCATTCATGAGGGTGTACTTAAGGAGGTCCCTCATTTGTTGTGCTCCGGATGCATTCTTGTTAGGGATGGTCTAAACGTCGCATACAAATATTCAGATCATAAACATCATCTGATTTAAATCAAAAAAATATTTTTCTGCCGTCCCTAATTCTTGCCTCAAATATCAATTGGCCTAAATTAAGGTTATGATTAGTGTAGAGATGTAGTTATACAGTAGTTGAGACCAGTCGGTGCTAGTAAATTAATGTCGAGTGCTTCAGTTGTCACCTAAGGTAAATTGACACTCGAAGCACAACGGAATAAAATAGAGACCCAAACTTAAACATCAGGCTGCGACAATAATTTAAAATGTATAAGAGTACAAATTCCTCGCAGCATAACGTCCTTTGATCGTTATTTTTTTTTTCTTTTTCGTAACTAACATAAGTTCCGATTATAAAGTACATATTGATATGCACGTATCCGATAGATCACAATAAATTTGAGGTTTTCAAAAATATTGGCCGTTGAGTAATATCCGTGGTACTGCTATGCAGTAGTTGAAAAACGGTTACTGGTAGACTTACAGGGTGGCTTAATATAGGGTGGTTTTAAATTTTAATAAGCTAAAAAGGGTCCTATTGAAAAATCCATTAGAAAATCCGCAAATTGTGGTGAAAACGCATTAATGGCTTAGGAGTATTTAATGTCGACATCGATATAATAAATAATATTATATATAATTCACTGTACTGCTGTAATATAACGTGTAAATGTCTGTGATATGACACAAGTCAAATAATATATTGTCAAGCTTGATCCGGATATTAAAATTTAAGGGACATATGTATGGAATACCCGAAGACATTATCACGGATATACCTAATCGAATCGAATTTCTAATAACTCTGCTAAGCAAAATAAAGTTTCTGAGGCTTAGAAACGGTTGCTCGTTTCGAAAGAAACTAGAATCTGGTTAGAGAGCTGATTGTCACTCTTTATAAGGCATTTCTTTGTATTACGAATGATCTTGTCACATGGCTTTGCATGCGGCGCAATATAAATATTATTTGAGAATAAAAAATTAAACGTTAATCATTCCTTTCTTCCGGACTGCTTTCGGCGTCTAGGTACTACAAATTTGTATCTTTAAACAGGTCTTGACAACTTTTTGTAAAAATGGTGAGGGAGCCTTCAATCGCTTTAAAAACAATTATCCCCTTTTCGGACAACCGACAAAAAAAAAGGAGTTCTGATTGTGACGATGAAATACCATTAATTATTCAAGATTGGACAGAGGTTTGTTTAACAAAAACTAATAACTTTTATTATTATTATTATTAAACCAGAAATTTTATAGAATAATATTCTCGATTACCAGCTTTTGATTGCTCTTAATATCCCCTTTACGTAGATTGCCCTTAAAAATACACGGATTTGATTAAGAGTAGAAGACTTTCTAATATTTGGCGATTTTTTATATCACAATCGTAAACTTGTTCATTTTTCTAATTAAACCATTTTCTTACCAATATTTTCTCAGGAAAGCTCCTCATCATCGTCAAGACATCGACGTCGTAATCTACCATCATCTTCATCTGATGTTCTGCTCTCGAGTATGAGAGCCCCAAATGCAAAAGCAAGGACAATTTCATTTCATGTCTCAAGTAATTGAATTTTAAAATTATTATTATTATTTTTTTTTTTTGAGTATGCAATTTTCGTAAAATAACTTTATTTAATATCGTAGATAAAATAAAGAAAAAATATCCTCCAAATGTTATCCGTAATCAAAAATACAATTTAATAACCTTTTTCCCATTGGTATTTTATGAACAAGTAAGCAATACTTTTGAATTTTAATTATTCAGATTCCTAATTATAATTTATACTTATGTCATCCTTATTACCTTATAGTTTCATATATTTATCAATTTATACTTTCTCTTGGTGGCACTATCTCAATTTATTCCTCCTTTGAAAATTGGCAAGTGAATTTTAGATAATTTTCTTAGCAATGTCCTGATGTTTCAATAAATTTCATATTTTGTATCATTATTTAGGTTACCTCTTTACGTATTTTGGTCCGTTATGTTTTGTCATTCTTGTTACAACGGGGAAGGAGGCGTATGATGATTGGAAACGGTATAAGAGAGACCAGGAAAATAATTCTCAAAAATATCAGATATTAACAAGGGATGGCCCAAAAAATGTTCCAAGCTCGAAGCTTCGAGTCGGTGACTTGGTTATAATTCACAAAGATCAAAGAGTGTGTGCTATACTTACATTTTAGCTGTTATGTTATTAATGTTCATATGTTTAACTTGAACAACTACGTTATAGGTTCCTGCTGATTTAATATTACTTCGTACAACTGAAACGAGCGGTGCTTGTTTTATTAGAACAGACCAGTTAGATGGTGAAACTGACTGGAAACTGAGGTATGCTACTGCAGAAATTTACCTATAATTTTGTTTCATTGGGTAATTGTATTTATATAATGGATTTATATTTCATCAGACTTGCTGTTCCATATTGCCAAAAGTTACATACTGATTCAAGCTTATTATCAATTGACGCTGAAATATATGGTAATTATTTTAATAAGTGTAAAATCATTATTAATACATTATTGACACATTTTTTGTGCTAGCTGATGCTCCATCAAAAGATATTCACAATTTTATTGGTAATTTTTCGATACAAATACCTAGCAATGTAGTAAGTTTCAAATATAATAAATTTATTTATTTGGCCATACAGAACTAAATTTCTTGTTTCTTATAATATAAATTTAATGTGCCATGGCAACTTTATTATATATATTTTTTATAATTTGTCTAAGAAATATATATATGCATATATATGTATAATATATATATGTTGTATATGAAGTAACTCTATAGTTCCTATTATTGATATCTAAAATATCACTTGACTAAAATTACTATTCAATACATGCATGAAGATTAATTCAGAGGCTTAATTTTAGTCAGATGCAATTTCAGATATCTAAAGTAGCAACTTCAGATAGGTGGATACTTTTAGATATGTATATTTATAGAAAATCTTCATCTGGAATAATAACACAAAATTGTTTTCAAAAGTTTCTAAAACTGACTTGGCAAGATTATAAGAGCCAATAAATTTACTTTGTATGGCCTTATATACTTAGATTATTTCAAAAATTTATTTAGTAAATTTTCATTACTAGACAACTCAAATTGAACCGCTTAATGTGGAAAACACTTTATGGATGAATACAGTACTTGCATCAGGTACTGCTATCGGATTTGTGATATATACTGGCAAAGATACGCGAGCAGTAATGAATACCAGTCATCCGGAAACAAAGAGTGGGCTATTGGATCAAGAAATTAATAACCTCTCTAAGGTCATTTAAGTTTGAATAATTTCAAACATGATATTTATCAAAATTCAATATGTTGCATTATGTTTAACAAAAAAAAAATATGCTTCATATGTTGTGGGTGATAGATTCTTTTTATTGTGACTTTGATAATATCTATAATGTTGATCGCGTTAAATGGTTTTCGTGGTCTCTGGTATATTTATTTATTCCGGTTCTTGATTATATTTTCATCCATTATTCCAATTGGGTAAGTTTCTAATTTCTTTTCATTATCCTACCGCGTATAAGCACCTCTTGCGAATAAACTCTACCCTCAGTTTAGCAAAACTTAGTGAAGCAGTTTTATTAAACATATAAAATTTAACACTGTAAGTAAGCGAAAAAATGGTGCTTATTTGTGATAGGATATAGTATTTAATTATTTCACATGGATTAATGTTAGTATTCTCTTTTAGTTTACGTGTTAATTTAGATATGGGTAAATCTGTTTATGCATATCAAATTATGAACGATAAAGAAATACCAAACACGATCGTTCGTACTAGTACGATACCTGAAGAATTGGGTCGAATCGAATATCTATTATCTGATAAAACCGGCACTCTAACAAAAAATGGTAATTAAAACCCATTTAAAAATAAATAAAATTCATGATTTTGTATTCAAAATTAATCTTTATTTGATCATAGATATGGAACTTAAGAAACTTCACATGGGAACAATGGCATACAATATTGAATCAATGGATGAAATCACGTCTCAACTCGCAGCTGCGTTCGGAAAAGCAAAATGTAATCATAATTTCTTTAATAGTTATATTTACATTTGTTTAATCCCGTTTTAATCTCTTAACCTGTAGCGTCTGGTCCTTCTGCAACTATAACTGGAAAGGGTCGCAGAGACATGTCCTCTAGAATTAGGGATATTGTATTGGCTCTCGCGCTATGTCATAATGTAAGGCTTTACAATACGTAACGTATTGATTCGATTATGTTAATAATGTAAATAATACTTCATTTATAAATTCAAATGTCAATATTTTTTTAGGTTACACCTGTTATTGATGCAGACAGTGATGAAATTGCATACCAAGCGTCTTCTCCAGATGAAATTGCTATTGTTCGTTGGACTGAACAAGTTGGGCTCACGCTGGTTTTTCGAGATATGAACGAAATACATCTTCGTACAGCAGATGGTGAAATTCTGGAATACTCAATCCTTCAGACATTCCCGTTTACAAGCGAGTCTAAGAGAATGGGTATTATAGTGAAAGATAAGGCTACTGGGGAAATAATGTTTTATCAAAAGGGTGCAGATGTTGTTATGAGTAAAATTGTACAATATAATGATTGGTTGGATGAAGAATGTGACAATATGGCTAGAGAAGGGTTGAGAACATTGGTTATTGCGCGTAGGAGGTTATCTGAAGATTCATATAATGAGTTTCAACAAAGGTATGAAATTTCATTCAGATAAGATTTATAAAATTTCTATTGTATTAAATAAATAACTTCATATTATAGATTTAATGAAGCAAAAGTGAGCATAACTGATCGTAAAGCTCAAGAACAATCAGTGGTTGTTTCATTTTTAGAACAAGATTTAGAACTTTTGGGTGTAACCGGTGTAGAAGATAAACTTCAGGATGAAGTAAAAAATACGTTAGAACTTTTGAGAAATGCAGGATTAAAAATTTGGATGTTAACGGGTCAGTAATGATTCTATAAAAATTCAAACAATAATACATTTATTCATGGTTGGTATTTAATAATTATTATTAACTTTAGGGGATAAAATTGAGACAGCTACATGCATTGCCGTTTCATCAAAGCTGGTATCGCGGAACCAAACTATACATCAAATATCACAAGGTAGGCTGAAATTAAATTGTTTGATTATTTAATTATATTTGTGTTGTTAGTTTTGAGACTTTATAATTTTTCATTATTATAATTGTTTTAAATAAAGTGACCTCTACACATGAAGCTTTGGAGCAATTAGAAGTCCTGCAAAGTAAAAAAGATACTTGTCTTGTGATTGATGGGACTTCGCTTCAGGTATTAATTATATATATATAGTGCATACTGCGCATAATATTATTTTATTAATTACAAGTTATTATAAATAACACTTTATAGTTTTATATGGAAACTTTTAAAAATGAATTCATCGAAATAGCTGTACGCTTACCAGTTGTTGTAGCTTGTCGATGCTCACCTACTCAAAAGGTAACAAAAACTTATAAAAGTTTATTTCTATTTTATGAATTTTTATTTATATGATCTTTTGTATAGGCTGACATTACGAAGCTCATTATTGATTTCACGGGGAAGAGAGTATGCTGCATAGGAGATGGTGGTAATGATGTTAGTATGATTCAAGCAGCTCATGTTGGTAAGTATTATAAGGCCTTTATTTTTATTACATATATATATTTATGCTTATTAAATTGCACATAAAACTTATAGGAGTAGGAATAGTTGGAAAAGAAGGAAAACAAGCTTCATTGGCGGCGGATTTTTCCATAACACAATTTAGTTACTTGACTAAATTGCTATGTATGTTTAAGTTTACTTAAATTGCGTATATATACATCTTACCTCCATAAATCTTTAACACAATCATCTTAATATAGTATGGCATGGTAGAAACAGCTATAAACGATCTGCAAAACTATCCCAGTTTGTTATTCATCGTGGGTTAATAATATCAGTTATACAAGCAGTATTTTCGGCATTATTCTTTTTTGCTCCAATCGCACTTTATCAAGTAAAAATCATGATTTCCAATAAATCTTCATGGTTTATATAATGTAATCCATAGCTGATTTATATTTATTTTAAAATAGGGATTGTTAATTGTGGGGTATTCTACCGTTTACACCATGGCACCTGTATTCTCTCTTGTACTGGATAGGGATGTAAAAGAAGAAACAGCATTTAAATTTCCTGAATTATATAAGGAACTGACCAAGGTATACATTAATTTATCTATTAACTAATAAGTTGATACAAAAACGTTAAATATTACTATAATATTTTTAGGGTCGCTCCTTATCTCTGAAGACCTTCTTTCAATGGTTAATGATTAGTGTTTACCAAGGTATAAAAAGTTATAACTTATTATTATTTTATTTTTATATATATTAAACCAAAATTATAAATATGTATAGGCGGAGCTATAATGATCATGTCAATTCTATTGTTTGAGGATGAATTTGTGAATATTGTCGCTATTTCATTTACTGCTTTGATTTTTAATGAGCTGTTGATGGTTGCACTGGAAATCAATACATGGTATAACTCAGACATTAAGTATTATATTTCTTATTTTATGTATACTAACAAAACATTATTATTTGCATGTAAAGGCATTATCTTATGATCGTATCAGAAATTGTAACATTTGCCATATATATTGTTTCTATGGCATTCTTACCGACTTATTTTGGTAAGAGATTCACTTATTGAATATAATCTTGTTATTGCACAATCTAACGCAGTTTTATTTTCTTAAATAGATTTATCGTTTATTTTAACATGGGTATTTGTTTGGAAGGTAGCGGTTATAACAGCAGTTAGTAGTATTCCACTGTATATTGTTAAAATGCTAAGAAGAAGGTGCTCTCCACCAAGTCATTATAAAGTAGTGGGCTAAATGACTTTAAGAGAGTAAAGGGTTATACAATTTTTGAATAGGCACTCTTAACAATTTACTTTTTTTTTCGAGAAACCATTGGGTTTATATGTATTATAAGCTTGTTCTTTACATTATATTAGACATATATAATTAAAGCCTTTGACCCAACTTTCCAAGAGCTAATTGTAAAAACAATTGCTGAGATACATGTTATTAATTTAGAATTTATATAAATGAATATTTAAAGTTAGGGTTTTGGATAGTAATTCTAATATTGCAGTTTATTAACCGACGTACAGTACATCAATATCAATAAAATACTATTACAATTAAAGTTTCAAAAAAAAAAAATTTTTTTTGATGCAATGGTTTATAATGTCCGGTGAGGAGCGAGGATATCTTATGTTTAGTCAAAGTTACTTTTATTAATTTCGTTTTTGACTCGCATTATTTATTATTAAGTCACATCAATAATGTTAATTCTACATTGTATTAAAATTTAGGATTAAAGTTACAAAAGTTACTAAATTTTTTTTTAAGGCGCTGAATATTTTAGAGCAATCGAATACCAATTACTTGGCTAGTTAAGATATAGCAATTTTTAGTGCTAATATCGTTCTATCTGAAATAAACTGATCGGGATTACTTATTATTTAATGTGTATAAAACAGTAAATGTCAAAGGATTAATTCAGTCAGGCATAACTTCAATCGACTAAAGTAGCAATACCAGACAGACCGCAACTATAGTCATGACACTAATAACCTTTGTTTTACTCTCATTTTGTATGTCTGCCCTTCCATTAAGTAATTTACACAGCCTTTTTCAAGCCAAGTGTGCTATGTAGTTTAAAACTTTTCTCATGGTTGTCTTGACAGCTGATTTCCTGCAAAAACATCCCAACAGGTCAACTCGTCCCGATAGGCTATCCTAATCAAATATCACTTTAGGGTGAGAAGGATCGAAATAACTAGAAGTCAGATTCGCAAAAAAGATTATGTTCAGAATTACTTCGACATTACTCATACTTCGTTCTTTCTGATTAAACATGTGACCGTAATCAGGCAAGACAAAAAGCTGCCTATCGTTTACGCGTCTTCATGTAAGACAATGCAATGATCATAATAGGCAATAACATAATTTGTGATTCAAAAAAAATAAAATAAAATAGCGAAATTTGCGTAACTTGGCAAGGAAACGAATTTTAAATCTGCTTTATAGCGTTAAACAAAAATGGAGAAAGTTTTTATAATCAAGGTGATTATTTTCCAAATAACCTCAAACCTTTATCCAACCAAGACATCCTAGCTCAAAGCCGAATTTTCTTGCTTTTTGTTTGTATCATTCGCACAGGACCAATGATTATTTATTTTTAAAAACAATAAATATCACCACAGAAAATCATCGGTCTTGGAATTCGGTGCTTTTTTTCCTTATTTGGTAACACCTTTCTAAATCAGTTTTTTTTCGATTCTTTGATGAATAATCCGGTGAAGACTCTAATCAACACAATAGAAACTTATGCACACATTAGAATAAGATTCGAAATCATGTGCATGGATTACTGATGATGAAAGTCGAACGGAATAATGCAGTCACTCAAAGGACGGAGAAAATGACATCGAGTTTAGATTTCGATGCCTCGAATTTAAATAAAACGGAAATTATTTCTCAAATACTTTAAATCTAAAAAAACTTTATAACATATTGCAACACCTGATACTTATTATGCATTACCATTATGCATAAATGACACCTAGCCCATTTTTCCATCAAATAATAAAAAGGATAATAGTAAATGATACAATTTATACTTAAACTTTAGTGCTTAAATTTAGTACACCTTCAATGCTCCGAGCTGGTACATTTTTATATCGTTACAGCATATTAGAGACTGTTATCAAATCGAACACACCTTAATGACAAATTTGTGACTTCTGGACGCGTGAATAAACCGACCATAACATATGTGAACCAAATTTCTGTTACTTTTAACTTGAGCTTATGTACAAGAAATACAAGAATATTAGTAATGTTGGATATCTTTAGATGGTATGCTTATCACGTAGTACCTCAACAAATCACTTATGTTACGCATAAATTGTGAAATCACTACAATCAAAACAGGATTTCATTCTTTAAAAAAATACAATTAAAGAGTAATTATGTGTAAATGTTCCATACGGTATGTTACATTCATATAAAAGCTATAGTGGCCGATTTGATAAATTAAAAAATGGATTTTACAAAGTCTTTCTTGTCCATACTACTATTTTTAATTTGTATACTAATATTACAACAATATTGCAATGCAAAACAAATCGATGTCTTCTTTCAAGAGTTCGTTCAAAAAACATTTTCTACATCCTCTCAATATAATTTATTTGTAAATGATATTACATTATGTCCATCGTTAAAACCTCGCACATCCCCTCCGGCAAACGTACATGATTTACGTCCAGATGATATTAAGGTGATCATGGCACTAGGTGATAGCATTACTGCAGGATTTCAAGTAGATGCAACCTGCGATGAAAATAATAATACTGCTAATAAATTATATGAGTATCGTGGTCTTAGTTATGCTATGGGTGGGGATACTGGTGCTGTTAGCGTAGCAAATTTTTTAAAATATTATTCTCCAGAATTGAAAGGTGCTTCTCTTGGATATCATCATATAGAAGTTTGTTTTGGTACGTAACATTTCATATGTGCATATATTCATTTTCTAAATTATGTGATACAGCGACTCGTTCTAAAGCTTTATATAAATAAATGATCAGGAGTTCTTTGTCCGCCAAAACAATATAAGCCAGAGCTAGACCAGATGAATGCTGCACAGTCTGGTGCGATGGCCAAGAACCTTGACCATGAAGTCGAGTATTTATTGCAACAAATTCAAAAAGAGCCGGAAGAGATAAGAAATTCTTGGAAGGTCTGTATTTTGAGATTTATTTCTACATTGAATAATATGTAGACTGAACAGCATACATTATTTCAGTTTTTAAACGTATTCATTGGTCCGAATGACCTTTGTTTCCAATGTATAAGCATCATTCCCAAAGAAGAAAAGACATTTGAAGATTATGTTTATGATGCATTAGAAAAGATTCGCGCAAACGTACCAAATGTTATCGTAAACATTATTGGGAATTTTAACGTTTCTCAAATTTATAAAATCACTCGTGGTCAAACTGAATATTGTAAGAAACTCGGTGTATTGCCGAATCTTGAATGTGAATGCGCCTTTTTTGATGGTATGCTTATAATTACTGAATTGGGCTAGGTTCTAAGAAAAGGGACGAAACTGTCAATTTTTTTTTAAAAAAAAAAAAAGATTTTTTGAGCTTAACTAATTCCAAAATTCACTTAAGGAACAAATATTGTTATCTTAATAAAATTTTGCAGTATAATATTTTAAAAGTTTTTATTCTCTAAATTATTACACAGAATTTATAATATAAAAAATCAATTTTCCGCAAAACTTTTTTTTTTCAATTTCGTCCCTTTTTTCAGCACCAAGACCATTTAATTATATCTATTTAGCTAACAGAATTATTTTAAAAAGGTCCAGAAGGTGACAAAAAACGCCAAAGAATGGATGAGATCGCACATGAAAATAATGCTGCAATTAATAGGATCGTACAACATTATGCTGATCATCCAAATGATAATTTTGCTGTTGTGTTTCAACCTTTTGATCTGGATTTGATGAGCTTTCCGATTGATGCCCTTAGTTGTGCTGATTGCTTTCACCCAGGGTAAATATTTCATTCTTGGTTTTTTAAAATAATTCAAATTATTTACCACATTTATATAAATGATAGCTTGAAACTTCATCAATTCTCGGCAAAATTTTTGTGGAATAATTTTATAATTCCTTCAAAGTCTCGGCATGTTACTATTAAATGGGATGCTTCAAAAAAAATCAGGTGTTGGAATGACGATGATCGCATTGCGACTTTTTGATCGAACTAAGTTTTAGATAACTTTTTGGTAAACTAATTTTCTGGATAATAATCAGTATTACGTCCATAGCAAATAATATTTTTCTTATCTGTTGAAACTTATATATGTTTATATGTCATCTCATATTACAATATTATTAAGGAAAAAGTTAATTGATGCGTACGTGATAGTGCACCTATATGATCTTCCCAATATTGATAAAAATCTTAAGGTTAAGGTTAGCATTTATATCGAGAGCACTAAAGGTGATTTCTTCGTTCCGATCATGCTACTTTACACCTGATATTGAAGCCTGCACCACAATTAGTGATAAGCCACTATCACATACGTGACAAATAACTTCGTCCTATTATTTATTAACATACAAATTTCCTGAAAAACAGTTTAAGGGATAGTATCAATATTTACAATAAATATTATAAGCTCTTCGAAAATGTATTTAAGCCTTTTGAATTTATCTTTCAAATTACAATATTTTGATTTTTTACCTTTTAATCTAGTGTTAAAGGCTCTATATTAAACAATAAAATAATATAATTTTAAAATAATTAATTTTTATATACAATAAATAGTTTTTTAACAAGTATTTAAATTAGTAATACTATACAATTCTTTTTAACAATCCTTTAAACAATATTAAAAAAAAACTGAATTACAAAAAAATGTTATAGCAAGACTTAATTAAACAATATTTATTTTATTTTTTTTTTTAATATTAAAGTTCCTATCTTTGGGATGCGACATTTTTATTCAAGTATATAGGACACGGCATGCTTCCAGGGGTTACCTTACTTTGGAGGTTACAACTAGCCACACATGCATTTTTGGTGCCTAATTTAAGTAGTTTGCTTATACATTATTATATAAGTTTTATACTAGATACTGTAATAGAATTTATTTTTTTTCCTATATTAGTATATATTTATTTTTAGCTCTATATTATATTTTATAATTTT